CTCAGGGGAGGGGGAGGGGACTTCAGGGGAAGGGGAAGGGACCTCAGGGGAGGGGAGGGGACCTCAGGTCTCCCCTATTCAGCTTCTGCCTCTCAGGAGGCTCCCAGGCTCCCCTTCCTTCAGAAGCTGTCGGAGGTAACTGGAGCACGGCTCCTGGGCTCTGGTAGCTCACCGCCCTTCCTCTAACATGGACAGGATCTGGGCTGGTTCTCCGGCCTCTGAATCATGCACTTACTTTCCTTGGCTCTGTCTGAAAAGGCCGCATCGGTTTTTTTCTGGAAGCTACACAGCCACCTCTCAGCGCTGGGAATGGCTGATTTTCATTATGCGTTTCTCTACCAGATTATTTCTAAAGTTGCCCCCGCTCCCTCCCTGCGGCTGGGTGTTGGGGGACCGCAGGCCAGTCTGTGGGGGCCCCGCGCTGTTCTTTCTCCCTGAGAAGTTGGGGGGACCCTCAGTTTCTCCCTCGAGTGGTTTGAATGGTTTCGCGGGAAAGGGGCAGGTAGCCTCTGAGAGACACCGTGTCTGCATTTCTGAGGGGGTGGTCATAACTGCTGCCTCACAGGATGGTGGAGATAATGAATAAGAAACCTGGGTAAACAGACGTAGCACAGCACCTAGACCACTGCCTCTCCCTTCTGGCATCTCTCAGAACGGACCAGCAGCTCCCAGAGATAGAAAGTCATCTCCTCTGTACCGAGCCCGCAGGCCCGGGCCCCTCTGGGAAGGGCTGGAGGTGACGCGGGGAGGGGGCCGGGGAGGAGGGAGCGTTCCTGCAAATCACATGGTTTTCCCGCTTATATAAATCACAGCTTGTTTTTCTCCACCGGCTGCAGACTTAAAGGTGCAGTGTCTGCTTTCTCTCCCAAGGGCCGGGGCCCCTGGCGACCGAGGTCGGGCTGCCGGGGCGTCGCCAGTGAGGGAGTCGGGGTCCACGGTGCAGTGAGCCCTGCGTGGTGAACATAATAATAGAACTTTTTACAACAATTCTTCCTTCTTCCATTTCTATTCAGCTGTAAGAATAAAAGGCAGGGAAGGACAGGGAAATAGGCACCGACCCGCAGGCAGAGGCTGGCCTGGCCGGGCAGAGACCCCCGGGGCCGCGCGCCTGCAG